AGCACAAACATCTCCCTTAACTTCAGATGGGTCCAAAGATTGGAAAGGAGCAAACCATGGCTCCAAGGTCCTCTCTCAAAGATGTGATCTACCAAGCTCATGATCCATCTACTAGAATTTAGGAGAGATATTTCCTCAACATATTGAATCCTAAACTAAAAAATGAAGAATAACTGAATGAATAGAAGGTAAGCTATTTTCCCTTTGTAAAGAATCTTTGTTTACATACAATGAAGAAAAGAGATACGAGCTATTTCCTCAACATATTGAATCCTAGATGCCCATGACGACATGGGCTTCCTGAGAAATCATTTGATGACCCACTTCTCTATCAGTCATATCCTATTAAGACTAGACTTGCTTAAGCTTAGAGTTCTCCATTGATAAAGCATGAACGGCAGTCTGCTATAGTTGATAGAAAAGACGACTCAAAAGAAATTTCCAGTAGATAAGAAAGTGTTGACATTTATTGAGAAATGTGTCTGATCATAATTATTATAAAAGCATTGGGGATTTCTCAACCATATATAAACCTAAATGGTAATTCAGAGAATAATCAGTGTTCGAATAAGCATAAATTTGCATCAAGGATTGCCTTTGCTTTGTATGGAATGAAATTCTACATAGGTCATTTAGGTCATTCCGTAAAAGTTTTTTTCCTTCAGATTTTATCTAGCTTCGTCTTTTTTCTTAATTCAAAAGCATCTCTTTTCTACTAAGGGGTTGTTTGGTTGAAAGTAAAATTGGTGTAAAGTAAAGAGAATGCAAGGTTTTTAAAAATTTTGGTGCTTGGTTGGATGAGAAAGAAATGAAAAATAAAGTATAGTAGATGTAGTGTAAAACAATTTAGCTCATTTTTTAGGTAAACGGTTCTCGTTTAGACGGCAAGCTAGCTCGGCCACGAAAGGCAACTGCCACCCATCGTCGTTGGCCGCCGCATACCACCCATGGTCGGCCACCAACTCTGCCGCCGGCTACCGGCCCCCGCCGCCGCAGCCACACACCGCCAACCATCACCCGCCAGTTGCCACCATCTTTAAATTTTACACTACATTCATTTTACTTTAAACCAAACAAAAAAAAAAAGCATTCGCATGAATTTACTTTACACTCATCCAAACAACTCTAAAGTATTATTTTTACACTATATTTCTTTTACACTACATTTCTTTTACATTGCATTCCTTTTAACCAACCAAACAGCCCATAAGAGATTTAAGTGATTGCTTGTCTTTAGACTAACAACAACATATTTTGTTAATCTCTTTCGCTCGACTCCTTCATTTATTAATTGATCTGGTTAAAATAAGCTCAACCCCAAAACTTGAAATAAATGATAGCACTGAGGCAGTTATATGAATAGAATGTTTTACTAGTAGACACATCTCCAACTCTCACAATAATTGTTTGGGAGTTAACCTCAAAGGGGTTTCTAGAATAACCTCCTAATTCAGCCATACTCCTTGCAATAATGGCTGTTGAGCATGCAAAGGATATCCAAAGGTTCAAGCAAAATTGAATGAAGTTGGCGGAGCAGCTTTTTATTTCCATGAATATATCTATGGTGCCCACAATTCTTATAAGTCACTAGCATATCACACGCACCAAACCTTTCCGAAGAATTCATGGGTTTTGAAGAGGGCCAAGTGTTGACCTCACTTTCATCAAGCTCGAACTTAACCATTGTACAAACATCTTGATTGGCTCTGAGATGCTCGGTTCGAACATTGGGGTACCCACACACCCGATGATTTGAACTCAAATTCCCGATTAGAACAGCATCCTAGTCACACACCCATCACCCCCTCGTCTTGCCAAAATTGCTACCTTTGCTTGATCGTGCATCTTACTGCGAACATGATCCTGTATCGATCATGCGCATCTTGTTACAAGATGAACTCATCAAGTCATTAGCAACCTTACTCTAGTATCCTACCTCTCATAGCCCTAAAGCCTCTTCCAAACTTTATTAGAGGAGAAGAGGCTTCCTTGGGCTGAGTGACTCAATAGGAGAGTCAAGAACCAGGCCAACAGTGACCTTGCCAAATTCTCTTCCAATATACACAGCCCAGAAAAATAAAATATCTGTCATATGATGGAAATATTAATTGCTATTGTTAGAAAGAGGTGTACAAAACTAAACACCATCCCTTCCATTATCATTGCTCTCCACATTCCTAAATTATTCATGAACATACTATCCATTTAAAAACAAAAAAATTAACCTAAACTGCATTATAGTGTTTTATCCTACTCATTGTTTATTTTAGAATCAAACTATGAGGATAGGATATTATAAGGATTGAGGACTTTACTATCTCAATACAAGTAATCACATCCATCAATCTTATCTATCTAAAAATTTGAAATTTTTTTCAGACGGGTCATTTATCATTTTATTGTATTGTATTCTAGATTTTCTACATTATTAAAAAAAAAAAAAAACATCATCCATCAATCCTCTCAAACTGAAACTCCACAACAAAAGGAGTTTGCATTGTAACAAAATGAAAAATTTGTCAAATTTTTAAGACCAACAGGGCTTGTTCTTTGAGAGGAATGTTTTGAAACCTTACTGAGGGAAAGTTTTCTCAATTGCTACATTTCTAATCAATCACCTTCTCGACGAAATATTACAAAATAAAACACCGATTAATCCCCTCATAACTTTTTTTTCCTAACATAAAACAAGCACCTCTGCTAAGACCTTTTAGATGTGTTGCCTGCATCCATATCCATAAAAACTATCAAAACACTAAATTTAATCCAAGGGCCCCTTCTTTGCTTACATCTTTAAATCAAAAAGAGTATAAGTATTACCATCCAAGTTGCAGAAATGTCTATATTGCCCAAGACCTTACCTTGTCGAAAATAAAAATTTCTAAAATTATGGTTGCCTTCAAAGGAAGCCTTAGAATGAAGACAACATCGATTTTCTAAATCTTCGTATCCCAACATCTACCCAACCAACCGAAATAACTTTGATTAGCCCTAATACCACTCCCTTAAGATAGATATAGCCCACTCTGCAAACAACCTTAACAATACCTATATAATGAACCTAAACAATTACATGATGTAAACTGAAGAAAAGGTTAAAAATGCTCAACTATAAATCAAAGTGTGCTCAACAATTTAAATCTACGTAGAAACAATTACTATGTAGTGAAGGAACGAACTCTATCTATAATTCAAAATCATCATGATACATGCCTTCTTACTATTCTAAGAAAAAGGGCATGAAAATGCATCAAACACCCAATAGTCAACTTTAGTTATCTTTCCAACCTTTCCACATCCCTGACAATCAAACACAAAAAGATGCTGGAGAAACTTTTGCGCCGAACACAAAACTAAACATCTTTTGGATACTTCTATCCGTGAAAATCAAACTCATATGGTCTTTACATATTGAGATATAAAAAAGACATCTCTATATGATAAATAGAAGTCTACATGAAACCTCCACCATGTTTTAATAATGAATTCAAAACTATGTATGTATATTGAAGTAAGCCTTATATGAGTTCAAACAATCCCCAGAGCATATAGTTTGAGAGATTCACCAAATTTATGGGAAAGATGAATTCCAAGCAAAGTCTTTGAGATTGCACTCGATCCATAAGAAAACGTAGAGGTAAAATCACATTCTATTACTTTATATGAATGATATAATTATAACTAGAGATGACTATAAGAAAATGATGATAACAAACGGCAGCCTATTCAAAAAACATAGAGAGATTTCAGAAAACTCAAATACTTCCATGGAATAAAAGTGACTCACTCAAAGGCTAGAATTTTCATCTCCCAACAAAAATGCATTTGAATCTACTTAATGAAACAAATATGATGGGATGCAAACCGTCAGAAGTTCTAATTGATTGCTACCATAAGATTAGAAAAGCAGGCGGAAAAACAGAGGTTGATAAAGGGAGGTGTCAAAGGCTAATTAAGAGACTTATTTACCTTGCGCATACAAGTCTAGATAGAGCTTATGCCATTCATTTACAAGCTCAAGTTATTTCATAGATTTCATATATAACTCTTCAATACCTCAAAGCAACCTGGGAAATGAACCTTAATAAAGATAAATAAAAGACTACTTAGAAGAATACACAAAAACTAATTGGGCGGTATACCTCATAGATAAAAAAATCTATTGCTAGTTATCGCACCTTCCTAGAAGGTAATCTAATCACTTGGAGATGCAAAAAAAAGCATACAAATCTACTATTGAAACTAAATTTTATGCAATGGCCCAAGAAATTTATTTTTAATAGATTAAATCATCTAAATGACTTGAGAAGAAATATTGGAACATACTATGAAGTTATAGTTCAATAATAGAACAATAATCAACATTGCCTGCGACCCAGTACAAAATGACAAAACCAAACACATTGAAATCGATCGAAACTTCATCAAAGAAAAATTATAAAGTAGATTAATATGCATCTCATATGTTAAGACAAAAAAGCAATTGGTCAATATCTAATTAATAGTCTCCCAATGACTAATAGATGGTAGCCTCCGACCCATGGGAATCCCAATCCATTGGATGCTCTCTTGGATTGCAAGTTGTAGTTATAATCTCACTTATTCTCATAGGTGCATCTAGGGGTGTGAACGAGTCGAGCTGATCTCTAGTTTTTGAGCTCGGCTCATCAACTCAGAGAAAAGCCCGAACTCAAGCTCAGCTCATCGCAGTTACATCGGGCTCGATCTCGACTCTCCAGAGAAATTCAAGGCGCCAACTAGTGAGCTTTGCTCACCGAAGAAAGGAGGAAGTGAGGACACCCGATCGTTGGAGTTACACTAGGCTCAAACTCGAGAGCTCGGGCGAAGGATTGACGAACTTCAACAGACCATTGGAAAAGAAGCACTCTTGAAGAAGAAGAAGAAGAAGAAGAAGAAAAAAAACTTGGCAGCAGTTCGAAACTACATTAAAAGCAATTTATTTTTTGCAAATTTTTAGCTGCATTTAGAAAAAAAAACTACATTAAAAGCAATTTATTTTTTGCAAATTTTTAGCTGCATTTAGAAAAAGCATCACTTTTTTTTTTAATACTATAGCTTTTTGTATTTTTTAAAAATGTATATAATTTACTAAAAGAAACTGAGTATCTACCCCTAAATAGTATAAATTAATAAATAGGATGTTTTTTTCTGCTCCTAAATATCAAACAAACTGAGCGAGCTCAAGAGCCGAGGATTTGAATCTCATCAAACTAGAACTTGAGCTCGTTTGATATGCAAGCTTGAATTTGAGCTCGATAAGCTCGACTCATGGAAAACTAGAACTTGAGCTCGTTTGATATGCAAGCTTGAATTTAAGCTCGATAAGCTCGACTCATGGGCTCGTTAACGAGTCGAGTTCGAGCCAGCTCAATTCACTTACACCCCTAGGCATATCTATAGAAACATTTTTAATACTCTGTATATTTTACCCTAGTGATAATTGTCTAAAAATTGATGTTTAACTAGTTGCTTCCAAAGGAGGAAATATTTAGTATGGCATAAAATCTTATTGTATAAAAAAAATGTGTAAAATTCTCAATGAAATACACAAGAATTTAGATCATCACTCCCTTTCTTCAATACTAGCCTATAAAAATATTTGGCAAAGCTTAGAAGCTTTTCAAATCCTACCAAAGAACCTTGCTATGCACTCGAAGTAGATGCTGTTGTAGAACCATTGAAAATTTTGTATATTTTATTTTATAGCTTTTAGCAAGGTACATTTCGCTCAGTTATGTATGAAAATTATTTAGAAATTTATTATCACATAATTCAACACCCCCTCAACCATTTGAAACTATATAAAATATGAAAACATGGGGCTTCTAGATAGCATTAGCAATTAGCTTATGAACTGAGTATGAACAATTATCAAACCATTGAAGTGTAAGTAGCTTACTTGTGCTGATCTACCTCGTTGTTCAGAGGGCAGTGACGGATTTGTGAAATCTCTAAATAAAAAAATTTCGCATTTTCAGCATAATGACAACAAAACATCAACATAAATGAGAAAAGAATGGTGAAGGCTAGATAGTTTGAAGGATGTGATAAATGAAGATAACTGAAAAAGAGCAACAAATATGATAAAAAAATAACAGAGAGAGCCTAACAAAATCTAACAGCAGTTGGCTAAATATTAAGATTAGGTGTTATGCAATGTCTAATTATTGGGAATTTTCAAAACAAAAAAGATAACAAGAATTAAACTGTAGCTAAATGCTATTTTTCAAATAGTTGAAGGAATCAGGAAGTACCTTGACCGCTCATTGTTATAATTTACCTGCAGCTCGCTAAGGCTGAAAAGTAAAGAGAAAAGGTCGAATCCTTAAGCTAACAACAGTAGGGTGATAAGGAATACAGAAGAATCTCCCAAAAAATGCATACTTGGAGTATTGTATATCTAACTGACAGCAACCATCATAAATATTGCGTCCCTACAAAGCAGAAGCCATTAAATAGCTTATCATTTTTGTCACAGAAAAACTGTCAGCATGAAGTAGAGGGGAGGGATAGGGTGAGGACAACTACGTGCAGAGTATTTCTCGCCATAACAGCAGCCGAACGAGACTGATATTGGATGAGGGCTTGAAATCCTACGAAATTAAGAAAAATCATTTTGCAGAGACCTATTAAATACTTTACTGATTTTACAATGGAGGGATTCACAAAATAAAGAACACAACATGTACAATATCAAGTTAATAATAAATAAAAAGCTCGCCATAAAAAATAATACAGATACAACCATATAAAATTGCAAAAACTAGATAATGTTAAAGCTAAATACATAAAGTTCCACAGAAGTTCTCACTGAAGTCTACTGAGAGAAAATAGAGAAGACTGAAAGAAGCTGACCAGCTGACTTCTGAAATGTGACGATCTTTTCCACAAATCCGTGAGGGGAAAACACTTGATGCAGCACATCCACCATTATGGGGTAGAGCATGATGAATTGTAACTAACAAGATTCGATTGGGTTCCGAATCCTGAGCGCTTAACAAAAAACCAGCATAGACAGGAGAGAAGAAAAATGAATAGAGAAGAAGTACAAAAAAAAGAGATCATAAGAAAGAGGTTAGGTAGAGAAGAGAAATGATACATTTTTTGTATAGTCATAGAAGAAAAAAGAGAAGTAATATCAGAGAGAAAGAAAAGAGGCGCACAAAAAAAATTTGATCAAATTTCATCATCTGAAAACTGTTTTAACAAACGCTACAGAATCTAGCAAGTGACAAAAGAAAATGACACTCTTAGCAAAAACACACCCCTTATCAAAATTGCTGAAAATATTAGAGCCTTATTAATCAGTGAATTGACCAGAAAATAATTATCAATGAATAAACATTGGCGCCTAATCCAACACAATGCTGCCCATATCATTAATTCCGTCTCTTTATTGTGACAATTAACAAAATCTATCACAGAGAAAGGCTGTTTAAACTTCAAGATATAATATTAGTACTATGATAAGAGTTTACCAAAATGTGATAAGCACATGTGATATGCTCAACACATAGCTAATAAAAAGAAAGTTTGCACCCACATTTGTACATCTCAAGATAATTCTAAAGATTTCATTCCAATAAACCATGTTGATGGAAATCCTAATGTTTACATTCCTTGGAAATGCAATGGGTAAGCGTGGAATATGAGCTCATTATTATTTTAAGATTTGAGTTGCTTTAGTAATTTTAAAGTTCTAGCATACTTATAATAAGAATGCATATGAGACGGGATAAGTCTTTAACGTTTGATTTCCCTGGTTTGCTGCTTAGACTGCAAGCTGGCTGGATTCTCAGTTTAGTTGTCTAGAATCCCAATTCACGTGAGATCTCCTTGGTTTATTGGTTGGGAATTTGGTGTTAGCACTGTACTTGGGTTGGTGCTTTGAAGGTTGCAATTTATTTGTTCCAAAATATGATTTTGTTGAGTTTTCCTTTATAAATGATTTTCCTGAATGCAGTTTTTTGTTTTTGGCTACCTTTTTTGCTTCATCGGCTTACTCAAATATGCGATTTTCTATTGTGCAAAGATATGTGAATCCCTATTTTGTGATTTTTCACCATAGCAGAGATCAAAAACTTGCTGTTATGCTGAAAATCAAATTGAAATATTGTTCTTTTGCAATTCTAGGCCAAATTATAATATTTCAGCAAACTTACAGTTCTGGATATAATTTTAATTATCAAAAAGGACAGGTTTCTAGGCATGTAAAATTCAGCCTTAGCTTAATTAAATTTCATATTCAACTCAAATTTGTCCGATCAAGTTAGAGTTGAATTTTTTTAAGTGTGACCCAAGTCTTGATGACAACTTTCAGGGCAAAGCCTTTTCTCCTTGTAGCAGCATAAAACCTAAATATTCCCTGCTGACGTATATCATAGTTCTTCTTTCATCAACTATTTTGTGATTGATTTTGGAAATTAAGATTTGGTAACGTTTGCAACAATATGATTTCCCTTCCAATAATGTGATTATTGTATGATTTTATTTTAATCATAGATTTCTGGAAATATTTAAATTTTGACAATCTTCTTTATTATTTGGGCTTCATTGTACTTGTATTCCTATTTGCATAAATAGAAATCAATTTTGCCATAATATAGTTGGTAAATTGTGAATTGGATTTGGGTTGGTTTGCTTGTTTATGCATATTATCCTAGATTTGTATTAGGGAAACCGTGCACCCTAAGACATCCCACATCAAACTAGTATCAACTTTTATGGTAGCATCATTTCAACTAGAAGTACGCCATAATAATTGGGACAACCAAAAAAATAATAAAGATGTAATTTAAATGAGATTGGGTAAGATATGATTTTAAACAAATATAATGTGACAATCATCAGGTTCAGAATTATATTCCGAATTCCATCATGGAGGTATGATTATAAGGATTTGACAAATTGGATTGATAAATAAGAAAATTTCTTTGCACGTCATCAAAGAAGTTGACATTATTAAAATGAAATTAGCGAGTCACACTCAATTATTATAGTGAAGTGTTACAAGTGAAACGTATAGGTTGATATGAAACATAAATTTAAAAAGCAATTTCTGTCATTCGAAGGTTATCTCATAGGGGCTAATTATATGAAAAAGTTAAGCAAAAGCTATGCTTCACTTCACGCTTTGCTTACTAAAGGGGAAAAAAATTTCTTGTGCATCAAATTTCACTTAGTGCTTTAAAAACACCGTTTAAAATAGGTCCTAACTAATAACTCATTTGCAATGAAGTCCAAAAGGTGTTATAAAAGCACCACATTAACATGTAAATAATATACATCTACATAATTTTCAAAGACAAGACAATTGAATCCTAACTCTCCCTCACATCTATTGCCCATCATGGATTACACAACCTTTGATATTTGTGTCGCCTTAAATAGTCACATATGCATTTTTCGCATAGTATCATACAAAGTTGATTCTTCAAATTTTGAAGGGGCCAATTTTTCACATTTTAAAAGCCAAGCTCATCAAATTTTTAAAGAAACCAAACTTCAACCTCAATTCTAAAAAACTTTCACAGATCATGTTATTTAGAAGAATTACTTTATCTTACCTTAGATTTTGACAATACTTTTCACATTTGATTGATAATGGATTATCATTGTGCTCTTCAATATCAAATCTACTTTCAAGATGCTATATGTTGTCCCTCACAGAAGAATCACCTAAAATTCAACACTAAGGCTTCGTTTGAGGTTGTTTACTTACTACTTTCTAAAGCGGATTTTTAGTACAAAAATTTTTTTAATTAGAAATTTTTTAATAAAAAGATGTTTTAGAAAGAATTGAAAAAATTGTCCAAAATGAAGCATAAATCTCCTTTTGTTTCCCCTTGAAGGTCTTTCAATCTTACACCCATATATTTTTCCTTATGATCTTTGATTTCCTCGATAGATACTCATTTTCTATCTTTAATTGTAATTACAATACCTTCTTGTGTTGTCTCTAGCTTTGATTCTCTTAATTCTTCACGATGGGTAGATTGACACGGGATTGTGAAACACAACTTTAAAATATGTCCATTCCTTCAAATATAAACCTCTCAACAACAACAATAACATAAAGCCTTTATCCCATTACATGGGGACGGCTACATGAATTATTTTTCTCCATTATGTCCTATTAGGAGTCAAATTATCATTTAAAGCTAATAAAAAATGTCATTTCTAGTACTTTCCAACCAAGTCTTTTTAGATCTACCTCTACCTTTCTTAATATAGGCCAAACCTAATACATCAACTTTCCTAACCAAATCATTGAACAGTCGACATTTTATGTGACCAAACCATCTAAGGCGGCTCTCTCTAATCGTATATGCCACTGGAGCTACTCCAACCCTTTCACATTTATACTCGTTTCACATTTTGTCTCTAAGAGTAAAAAGCCACTCATCCATCTAAGCATACTCATCTCTACAACACTAAAACTTAATTTCTGCCCATCTCAAATCATAGATATATCTTGTAGAATTTCCTACACAGAAAAATTACATGAACATATTCAAAGCTCTAACACCATTGATAAAAAACTAAAGTATGATTGTACATAAAAGAAAATAAAGTCTAAATCAAAAAGCTTAATATAAAACCTAACTGATTCGATTGAAACCTAACTAATTAGATTGAAACAATCAAAGCATTGAGTTGTAGTATTGTCATTGTCGTGGTGTCAGAGTAAGAGTATCCATGAAAAACATATCAAAAATAAAAATTAAAAATACCTATTCCTCATTGCTTCTTGTTTTCCTTTATTTTGGCTAGAAGTCCAATTCTGCAATTATGTACTTATATTTAGATTTTGATAGAAAATGAATTCTCTATTAGTAGTATTTTATTAGTAAAGTAGTCAAATAAACTCACCTAATTTAAAATGACCAAAATAACCATTCAACTTTTAATGAAAAAAATAGCCCCTCTTCTCAAAGGACACTTAAAAGCATAAGTGTAACATAAAATATGAGACTCCTATACTGGCACTGGCAAGCCGTGAGGAGGACCTCCAATGTTGCTTGGTATCTCCTTTTGAACCAATGAACCTTGGAGAGATTGTAACAGGATTCCTCCATACACATCCGCCACAATAAGCACCAGCAAGCCCAGTGGTAAGCCTCGCCCAGTTTGCTACAACAGTTTGATGAGGTAATAATGTAGATATACCTATAGTCAATTTCAAAATAAGATACTAGAAGTATGTTAATTAATGATAATTAGTCATTTGAAGTTATCTAGAAAGATCTATTTGCATATGGAAGCAAAAGCATGGGCTTGGTAACAACAACAAAAATTTGTCACTTTATGTATAAAAATTTCAGACAGCTAAAATGAACCAGCACAAGCTGGAGTGAGCCTACTCATTACAAATAGCAATATGACCATAAGAGATATTAATATATCCCTAGCTGATGAAGGATCATGTGGGCTCCGAAAAATTCCATTTTTGTATATGATCCCGGCCTCTCCACACCATCTGTCTATTTTTCTTTTAAAA